TACTTTTTTTTTGTCAATTTACTTAACAAGGATGAAACTTTGTGATGCTTGCTCCACAATCCTCAATCTGAACGGTATAAACAACTCAAGCATAAGAATTATAACTGTATACTTTTATTGTGGGTGTTTGTCAAAGAATGAATGATCACAAGCTGCACTGCTTTGACTGGCACAAATACTGCTGGTGGTGATGCCCACTAAACATAATCATGTTAATCATTTTTATGACTACAAACTCGAGCAAGTGTCACATCTGCAGCCACATCCGCTTGTTTTGGCGTTTGACTGCACACCTTCACTTTTCCTAGTCACACATTTGCTGCTAACTGTTCATTGCTGCAGTTGCTGCAGTCTAGTTGCACGGCACTTCCCAAATGTCATCTGTCAGTCAAACTAAATGTGTGCACTGTGACATTTTCCTTTTTTTGGATTTTCTTTGGAGAAGGTACGAACTTCTCAAGTCGCTGGATTTTTTTGTTTTTCTTTGCCTCCGGCACCGATCAAGGCTTATGTTCATCCAGCCTTTTTTGTGTGTTTGCGTTTCCACTTATGATTTTCCTATTTCGTTGCTGTGAATAGCTGCAGAGTTGCAAAGTGAGCGCCTTTATTCGCTGCTCCTGAATTCCTTCTTGATATGCAGATATTTCCGCTTTCATTGACAAGTCTCCAGGTTTGGAAGGACAGCAGGTTATGGTGAGAGGTAATGATGTGGAAAGCCGTGCTGGAGGAAGTGGCGAGGGCGAGAGGGGGCCGTGACAGCTGTCACGCAGTAACAAACGCCTCCCTCTGTGAATGGACACTCAGAGATGAGGAGTGGGTGGGGGTGGGTGAGGAGGATGGGGTGGTGTGTGCGTTGGGGTTGGGGTAGGGGGGCTCCTTCACTGCACAGCTGCCACAGACCTGTCACTCAGGATGTTATCTCGCCCCCTCCTCTGGTCTGGATAATGGGCTTCTGGTCAGTGTGGGCATTAGCCACACATCTCTGCAGTGACTCCTGGGCACCAGCCATTACTTCTCAGTGATGCCCCTCAAAAGCTGTTTAAGTTACCATGAATCATACTTCCTGAAAGAACTTCTCAGTCCTTACTAACGAGTGAATAATTTATAACCGCACAGTGGTCCATTTGTCTTGACTTTAGGTTCACAAGGACAGCTAATAGTAGACTGACTGAATTCAATCAATACAATCAATGCATGCAGTGGTGCAGTTGCACCCAATTAAATGAAAGTCTTCACAGCAAACCACAGGTCTTTCATCAGCCAGTGGATGGTTCTGAGTAGGTCCAACACTGCCACCCAGTGGTACCACAGGGACAACTGACAGGTTCAATATTTAACTCGATCAGTCAACTTCAAAAGCACATGAGCACACCGTGCACAGCACTAAATATGAGTTTAGTGTGATAATTAGCGCGACATTAAAACCAGCTCACAGCACTGGCCTCGCCGTCACAGCACAGTTCTGCTGGGAAATGTTGGGTTTTGGCGTTACTTTGACACGTACCACGCAGTTCAAATACCTTCATAGCACCGCCACAGAAGTGGCACTCTCCAGCTCCCACCAGTGTGTCCCACCACAAAAACCCAAAGGTGTTTGAAATACTTAGATCCCAATCTTCAGAAGCCAATCTGCAAATTACAGGAGAGCAAAAAACCCACTGCCTGCCTGATGCTGATGCTTTGCTTTACTTGGATATCAAACCTGAGACTTTCCTCACCAGATGTGTTATCTGCAGGAATATTTTTCACTTTGAACTAACCCTTTTTTGAGTTTTGCACGTGCAAGACATCCACGTAACAGTCCAGTCTTTAGATTAACGACTATAGTCAACTCACATGGTAAATAGAAGGAGCTGTGTACACTGACTCTGACTCAAGTCAAATATGTGAATAAGAGCTTTCACAGGGCACTCTGCAGTCATCTAAAATAATAAGTACACCAAATGATTCAGCAGCTTGTGGAACAACATTAGCAGCAATAACATGAAGCATTAGTTTTCTGAATGACTTTATTAATATTTTACATCATTGTAGAGGAGACTCGGTGCACTCTTCTTTACAGTTTTGCTTCTGTTCAGTGATGTTGGTGGACATTCGTTTATGCACAGCTCTCTACAGGTGCAGCCACTGCAACACTTTCACTCCTTTGAGCTATTCTGCTCTAGATTTGCTGCTGTGCCTGGGATCAGTGTTCTGCTATGGGACCAGTTACTAAAAGATGCTGTTTTTTTTTTCTCTCCTTTTAATTCAGTGCTCATTTTAAAGTTGAGTCCTTCAACGTGTTGGAGGGGTAACAAAATAGGAGAAAAAGTAAACACTTGGTGAAACATCACTTTAGTATCATAACACTAAAAAGTCAAATTTTACTTTCACTAAAGGCCTTCGGCATGATATAAATATATAAAAAAGCCTTTCACAGCGTCCACTCACAAGTAGCAGCAGACATAAACATGTGTTGAAATCTGCACTGCTCAAGAAATTGAAGGAACATTATTTAATCAGAATTTAGCATTAGGTCAGTTAAACTTCTGGGATATTGATCTGGAGCTGCTTTGGTGTTAGTGAAATTATTAACAGGTGCAGAAGAGGGACCACAGTGAGACAACCCCAAAACAGAAATGGTTTCACAGGTGGAGTTTACTGACATTTATTTCTCTCTTCATCTTTTCTGTTTGTTTCTCCAGCTTTGCTTTTGGATAGATTCCTGGACCCTGCAGAGGTTGCACAGCTGGTCCAGCTCCTCCAGGATAGCAAATCAATACGTGCCACTGCCAGAAGGTTTGCTGTGTTTCCAAGCACAGTCTGAAGAACATGGAGGAGATTCCAGGAGACAGTTACTCTAGGAGAGCTGGACAGGGCCATGGAAGGTCTTTAACCCATCAGCAGGACTCGTATCTGCTCCTTTGTGCAAGGACGAACAGGATGAGCCCTGCCAGAGCTACAAAATGACCTCCAGCAGGTCACTGGTGTGAATGTTTCTGACCAAACAATCAAAAAGAGACTTCACGAGGATGGCCTGAGGGTTATCCTCACTGCCCAGCACCGTAGAGCCCAGCTGGCATTTGCAATAGAATACCAGTATCAGCAGGTCCATCACCGCTGTGCTGTGCTTTTCACAGATGAGATCAGGTTCACCCTGAGCACGTGCGACAGACGTGAAGGGGTCTGGAGAAGCCAAAGATAATGTTAGAACATCACGGTTCATTGTTGGGTCAGAGAGACACACAGACCTCTGAAGGTTACAATGAACTAGTCCGCTGGATCATTTTTTCACTTTAAATTCAGCCCTCTCTCAGTTGATCACTTTCATTCCCATCAAATGATGTGGCATCTTTTGTTCCTAGCACAATATCCATATCAGAATAGTTGTCCAGTGTGATTCCCCTCCAAAGAGATCTGATGTGTTTACAAAGTGTTCCTTTAATAATTTTGAGCAAACAACATTTTAAAGAAAGCTGATATACTGTGTAATATTTAAATAAAACAATAGTGAGGTTATTCACAAATCTTTCACACAATATATAACTGGAAAAAAGTGAAAAAACTGGGACATTATATTCGACAAGGGTTCAATGATGCTGTTGTTTTTAAAGTAGGTTTATCAGTTGTTCCCTGATTTCAGCTGCTCTTGAAGTCCTCCGTTTTTGATATTGTTCACATCATAATGTGACAAATATATATGAATAATGACAGGTTTGCACTGCAATCCAGATTAGCACCTGAGGTCGTGCTGTTCAGAATGCCCGAGGGCCTGAAGATCACAGCTGTTAGTTAAATGTTCAGCCTCGTCTCTTGCATACAGAGACGGCTCTGTTTAAAGGTTGGATTACAAATATCATCAGTGTTGGAAGATAATCAGACCTCATGTGGATTCGTGCTCTTTTCCCCTATATAGCCTGCTTAACAGTGAACGACAGAATCATTTGGAATCGGGGGGAAGTCTCCCACACCTTGTAAAGAGCCTTGATCTCTACCGCCATCTGCTGGGAGTAGACAAGAATGCAAGCATCAGCTTTGTTTTAAGCCTGTGTACCTCTTGCCTTACCTTTCCCGATATTACCTGTGGTAATATAATGGACAGTTTCAGCTCCTCCTTTCAATGCCCAGTTGTGCAACGAGGGGCAGCCCAAAGTACATTTGCAATTTCCATTTCTGCTGAATAGTTTACATTAGCAACCTTTTCACACAAGCAACTCCCAAAATGTCCTTGGAAAGCAAACACCTGTTGGTCACAGCGTGGAAGTGTGATCTTTTCCAGTTGGGCCGAGGCCACCGGTTGATGTCAATTAAGCCCCGCTCTGCCGGGACATTTACATAAGGCTCTGGAGAGCAGCACAGAGCATGGTTTGTTTCCCGTTTTGGCAGCAGCCGTTTCCTAGGAACACACAGGCCTGTTTTCAGCACCTTCAGGAGCTTTGTGTTTGACAAGCAGCATAAAAAAAAGGGCCTAATCCCAGCGGTTTATATTTAGTACAGTTGTCTCATTACAAGTCTGAATCACGGGGTTGTTTGCTTGACATATTGCCAATTTTAGTTTGAATTAATGCTGGAATGAGTAAGAAAGGTGAACTTGGCCCTGAGAGCAACCCCCTCTGTGTTTTGGATGGGCTGCTGTTGCTAAACGGCAGTTGTTTTAGTGAGGTGAATGGCCCCGAGCCTGTGACGCAGAAGTACTTATGAGTAGACACTATTTAGGGAGGGGAGAAAAGCATGCCTCTAACACGGCGGCTTTGTGACATAAGCCATCATCACAATTATGATGTTACGAGTAAAAGCGAGGCGTGAGATGACACCGTGAAACTTACTACGTGACATATTTCGCCCTGTTGAGGAATATCAAAGATCTGGTTTGGCAAGTGCTTCCAGCTTGGCCGGGAGAAGAGAAGAGATTCAGTTTCATGTTTGATCTTTCATCAAGGGTAAAAAGATCACTCGAAAATATTTATTGGTTTCTTCAATAACAAATGGTTTCCGAAGGCTCGTGCAGAGAGATCGCCTGGAAAATGATCATTTAAAGCCCCATTATGTCCATTTTGGCCAAACATACAAAGACAATGCTGTGATATCATCCTGTGGTGAACATGTTGGTAAACCTTTTATTGCCATATAACTTCAGCTCGTTATGCACTCTCCTTTGAGCTCTGTTTTGGTCTCCTCCAGTTCTCAAAGAGCATGTCTGGTTGCTGCTAGCAGTTTTGGGGACTATTGCGAGGTCACTTGGAACTATTTACTTCAAAGACATTTTGGTTTTTTTTCCAGTTTCCAGCTAATAGATGATGAAATAACTGGTAAGTGGTTGATAATGCAATTCCACTTCTTGTTTTTGTCTCACTTTCTTGTAATCACGTTTCACAGCCTTGATGTATCTTAGCACGTGGCGGCACGGCGGTGCTGTGGTTAGCACTGTTACCTCACAGTTTGAATCCACCATCAGGACGGCAGCCTTTCTGTCTGGAGACTGCCTTGGCTCTCCCTGGGTACTCCAGCTTCTCACTACAGTCCAGAGACATGCAGTTAGTGGGGTTAGATTAACTGGCGTTTCTAATTTGGCTGTAGGGGTCAAATGTTGTTTTTGTGTGTTAGCCCAGCGACACCCTGCCTCTTTATGATGCTGAACTGGATAAACAGAATGAAATGGGTGGACTGACATTTCTCTGCTGTATGGAGGACCCCTATATTTCCATAGTTTTGACCACTTAACCTATACTTGGGTCTAGACCAATCACAGTAAGGCTACATCACCTTGAGTTCCTTTGGCTCTAAGTGTGGAGTCCTTGTTCTAACTCTCTGCAGTTAGTGTACACTTTGATAATCAAAACTTTGCCACTGCTGCAGATGAAATGCAGATGTCATGAGTACAATGAGAGAAATAAAACAGGAAGCAAAACCAAAACAACAGGATGAAGGACACAAAAACGTCCTGCAGAGTGGAGACTACACTATGTTCACTGATTGCTACAAGCAGCACCTTTCAAATAGCACAAATAGTTTGAACCTCTGTTAATATGAAATATTATGTTTCGATTTTAAAGCTCTAAAAAGTTTATATCTCAGGACTCTTTTTTTATCTGCTTTTCTGCCCTGAAGTAGCTACAAACCTTCTAATACAGCTGCATCTTTTCAGAATACATCTATCTAGTTTGAAGCTACATATTTAGAATCCAGAGCAATGTGCCAGAGCAGGGAGACGTATATCAATCAGTCCCGCTTTAAACTAAAAATGATTTAGGCCATCTTTCAGGCCTCTTTCAGAAAATAACTGACCTTTGTCCCAGCAGAATAACATGCTCCAAATTAATTGCTTAGGGAAGATAAATTGGTATGGGGCGATATTATAATGCACCCACTGGGAGCTCCAAAATAGGCTTCCTCGCAGTGGGATCCACTCTGGCCAAGAGGAGGTGGAGAAATATGCCAGGGCACAGTCCAGGCAGGATATAAAAAAACCAGAAGAAAAATAAATTGAAAAAGCTAATTTTATGTACTGACCCAACTGAAATAATGTGAGAGGGTTACTTGAAGCCACCCCCAGCTAGCTTTTCTGCCCTGTATGTTCTTATGTTCAGAACGTGGCCGTGTTTTCCCCACATTTCAGTCTATTCACTTACTCACACTTGGCTTTACAAGTGAGGATGTACAGGATGAAATGAGGGGGCACAAATAAAACAAATGATATAAGCTTTCAGATGCTCCCTTATTCACAGGGGGTCACCACAGCGGGTAGCTCCGCATGTTTGATTTGGCAGATTCTCACGCCAGATGACCTTTCTGACACAACTGGGAGGAAGATCCAAGAATCTGCTTAATATCATGTGTTCTATTTTAATTATATGTACTTTCCCCAGTAAACACTCACTGGCCATTTCATTAGGTATACCTATTCAACTTCTTGTTATTGCAAATCTCCAATCAGCCCATTACAAAGCAAATCAAGTCATGTAGAGATGGTCAAGAGAAGCTGCTGAAGTTCAAACGAGTATCAGAATGCTGATTTAAGTGACTTTGAGCGCGCCATGTTTGTTGGTAACAGATGGGCTGGTATGAGTATTTCAGGAACTGCTGATCTGGTGGGATTTTCCCACACAAACATCTGTAGAGTTTGCAGAGAATAATCAAAAAATATCCCATGAGCAGCAGTTTTCTGGGTGAAAATAACAACAATAACTCAAATAAGCAGCCAAACCACGCAGAAGAGCATCTCATAATGCACAACATGTCCAGCCTTTAAGCACATGGCCTACAGCAGCCGAAGACCACATACTGCTCCTGTCAGCTAAGAACAGGAAACTCGGGCTACAACTCGCGCAGACACATCAAAATTGGACATGAAAAGATTGAAACGTGGTTGCCTGGTTTGATGAGTCTTGATGATGTCAGGGATATTTTCTTGGACCACTTTGGGCCCCTTTCTAGGGCTAGGCATCACTTAAACACCACAGCCTACCTGTGTATTACTGTTGACCATGTCTATCTCTATATGACCACGCTGTACTCATCTTTTTATACCTGCTTCCAGCAAGTTAATGCACCATATCTCAAAACTTAGGTTATCCCAAACTGGTCTCTTGAACCTGACAATGAGTTCACAGCTCCACAGTCACCAGATTTCTGCTAAAGCAATCAAATAAAGCTCCTGTGGGAGATGGACATCATGGATGTGTGCTGCTGTCACATTATGCTATCACATCAATATGGAGCAAAATCTTAAGGAATGTTTCCAACACATTATTGAATCTACATCACAAAGATTTAAGGCGGTTGTAAAGTCAAAAGGAGGTCCAATCCAGTACTAGCAACACCTAATGAATTAGTACATATTGGGATAGGGTGCAAAGCTGTATGGAACAAAAACATGATGACACAATACAATTAAATGCTAAACTTTCTTTTCTACATAATAACAGTCAAAGAGTTAAATGATAGAATCCATCAGTAGGGTCTTTTGTCCCCTTGGGTAACTTTTTTCATTATGCATGTAACTGAATCCATTGTGCATTTTAGAAATATCAATTATTGCAATTTTAAAGCTGCTTTGATCAGTGTTTTTACATTGTTGCTGTATTTTTTCGCTCTCTCTGTGCCCTTAATACTTATTTTCAGCAGCACGCAGCTATTTACACTGAAACGTCTGACAAACTCACTCTACTTTACCTACCCAGCACCACACAGCAGCCTGACAAAGTTAGGTAGTGAATGCAATCCATTAAAACGTCATTTATTTATTTTGCTCCAGTCACAGATTACACCAAAGAGGAGTCAGTGTAGTCTTGTTGCTCTCTGATTTAAACTCTTATTGATCTGGATACAAGAGGCAAAGCAAAAAAAGATCCTATATATCCTGTCTGTGGTTGAATTATTTGTTATTTAAGTACAGCTTACACACTGTTTACTATCCTAGAATAACAGATAATCAGTTGCCGTTTGACCCTGATGTTAAACTGGAACTCTTTTGGCTTGTCAAGTGGCCAAACCAGGTGAGATGAACTGGAAAGGTTGGAATTCATAGTTTGTTTTGTCTATGATGACACACAATAAAAAATACACAGACAATATACTTACGTCTGCCCATTAAAGCAGAGAATTTCCAGATGAGGAAGGAACGTGGATTCTAGGAATTTCACAACCATGTTTTGTTTAGTACATCAAAAAGGTAGTATGCACAGTATGAAGTATATTTTTATGATGAGTTTCAGTGTGTTTTCAATAGAAGAGGTTCAGGTAATAGAGTTACATTTTTAGTTTTGATTTTTTTTTTTTTTCAGTTCCTTGTTGAAGAGCTGAGCGTAAAAGTGAAGTTCTTGATTTCCCGGTAGTGTTCAAAAGTCTCAGGCAACCACTAATTCTTGGTTTTACTTGGAAAATGGAAAAATATGTGCAAAAACATTAATTAGACATAAATGTGCAGACCTACATATAATTAGAGTAAATAAGGCAAAAACAATCTTTCAGCTTCAGCCAGCATCTGCTATATGGTCACTAATATTCTTCAACATAACCTGAACTCTCTTAGATACACGTTCTTGTTCATATTTTTAATCTTTAGGAATAGTTCTACAGGCTTCTTGAAGAACTTTTAAAGTTTTTCTTTGGATTTTGGCTTCCTTTTTTTCTATTCTCTGTCAAGATGATCCCACACTGCTTCAGTAATGTTGAGGCCAGTCCATGACTGATAGCATTCTATTGTGTGTGTTTTTTATCCATTTCTGATGAGGCTTCAATAAACTGATCAATTGCATTAAAATAAATAAATTGGGTGATCATTACATTTACAAGAGTCTAACTTAATTAAATTAATTAAATCACCTACGATTTGCATGAAATTCAACAACTCAATTTATTGTTATTGAGATGACGTGATAAAATGCCATAAGAGTGGTTAGTTGCCTGGACACGTGAAATTCACAAGATCACACGAGATTTCAAACCACAGGAAAATCAGCTCGGTGGTGCAGTGGTTATCTCTGTTACCTGACAGCAAGAAGGGCCTGAGCATCAGGTAGTATGCATAGTATGCATAGTAGGCCCCAACCTGATGCACCATCAGGCCGGGGCCTTTCTGTGTGGAGTTTGCATGTTCTCCCTGTGTTTGAGTGGGTTCTCTCCTTGTTCTCCAGCTTTCTTCTGTTTCTTCAGTTTGGATTCGGGAGACAGACACTATCTCTACTTTTAAGATTCGGCTTAAAACTTTCCTTTCTGCTAAAGCACATAGTTAGTTCTGGACCAGGTGACCCTGAATCCTCCATTAGTTATGCTGCAATAGACGTAGGCTGCCGAGTTTTTCCTTTCCAGTCACCTTTCTCACTCACTATGTGTTAACAGACCTCTCTGCATTGAATCATATTATTAACTGTTATTAACCTCTGTCTCTCTTCCACAGCATGTCTTTATCCTGTCTTCCTTCTCTCACCCCAACCGGTCGCAGCAGATGGCCCTGCCCCTCCCTGAGCCTGATTCTGCTGGAGGTTTTTTCCTGTTAAAAGGGAGTTTTTCCTTCCCACAGTCGCCAAAGTGCTTGCTCATAGGGGGTCATATGATTGTTGGGTTTTTCTCTGTATCTATTATTGTACGATCTACTGTACAATATAAAGCGCCTTGAGGCGACTTTTGTTGTGATTTGGCGCTATATAAATAAAATTGAATTGAATTCTGCAGTCCAAAGGCAGATAGTGGGGTTAGGTCAGACTTTAGAGGTGTAGGTGTACCCTGCCTCTCAGCCCATGACATCCCCCATAACCCTGATAAAGATAGGAGATGGAGTGACAACTATGTGAAAGTTGTTATAAATTAAACATTTATGTTAGACTTAACTCTTTAAATCAACTCTTTATATGAACTTCAAATAATCATGGAAAAGATTAATAAATGGTTTTCTATCAGCATTTTTGTTGGACTAATGTAATTTGCATGGGTTGGATCACCTCAGTTAAATTAACTAGTAAATAAGTTGAATCATCATTAATTCATTAATTAAGTTCGTCCAACTCCAAGTACATTAAGTATCAGGTGCATCCCGTGGGTCCTATGTGGTTGCTGGATTTCTTCCTATTAGTTAAGGATTTCTTAAGGCATAAGGATTCTGCACAGTACTTCACGTTCATATGCTCATCTATGGCCACAAGTTCTGGACAGGGACCAAAAGAATGTAAGCAGCAGAAATGAGCTTCCTCTGGGCTCTTCTGTAGAAACGGGGTGAAGAGTTTGGTCCTTCTGAAGGCAATCAGAGTAGAACGACTACTTCTCCGCATCAGAAAGAGCCAGCTGAGGTGGTTCAAGCATCTGGACACCTTAGAGGCCAAGGACAGAGTCAAAAAAATATGTGAGAAGTTGATGAGAAAACAAACTTCCTTGTACAGCAGATGAAGGGATATCAATTTTTGCAAACTCTCCCCAATAAATGTCATTACTCCCAATAAATGTACTTACAATTATTGAGTACAATCAAACATTTGGTGACAGATATTCTTAAAAGTTGGCAGCAGTGTGTTCAGTGTTTTGTTTTTTAATTTTTCACTCATTTGAGTTTTTAAAATACTTTTGCATAAAGCTTACAGGCTTAGTTATAACATGTAAATGAACTTTATCCCCAGTCAATACAAATTATGGTTGGGTAAACGAAACATATAACAGGCTTGCTCAAACAACCTGAGAGCACTGTAGTCAGATGTTTTATGCAAATCATATGGAAATATATCAGAGAGACATAAACTGTCCCAGGAATGAGTCAGAGATAACGCCGCATACACACTCAATCTCTGCGTCCCTCTCTGTCTCTGGCACAAAACACCACACAGACCCCCCCCTCCCCCCACCAAATGAAACAGCTTTCTCATGCTAAATTCCCATAGTCACAAAGCAGACTCTCTTGGGATACATACATACAGTGTGCATGGCTGCTTTCAAAGTCCAACTGGAGATAAAACGTCATGTCGATTGAGTGTTAATCCATTATTACAAGGCCAAATCCCTGCTCCTTTAGAGACATGTAAAAAAACACTGATTATTTCCAGGTTTGCCTATTTTTAGATAAGTGAATTGAAGCCGCAGAGAGCTCAGGGTCAAAGTGCGCATACTTGCTTGCAGTCTGGAATTCCAACATAATTTTTTCCATTACCCAGAGCGCAGAAGGAGGGGCTTTTGGCCGGCGCGTAGAACTTCTTTATCAGCAACGGGCAAAACACACGCACACAAATTTTTATTAACCCCTCCTTACATTCTCCCCTTGGGGTAAACCTGCCTGGAGCTAACGTGGTGTAGTATTTACTGACCCTCATGGAACACATTACCTGTTCTGTTATCTTTGTGCACACAGATCTCCACACATATTTGTTTTGTTATTTTTATGCCCATTTCTACTCGTTGACTAGCTGTGAGAAAACTGCTGCAAACTTTAGCAGAAATAGTCCAATAGAGCATGATGACAACTGGCTCTTTCATGTATTAGCAGAAATACTTTTGAAGGGACGGTCTTCTGAAAGATGCTCTATGGCTTACTGGTTAACATATTCCCCTTACATGTGAAAGATCCCTGATTAAATACAGGGAGGAGATGTAAACCCAGACTTAAGGAGTCACAAGCTAGCGTAACCAAGCGCCAGTCCCAGGCCCACACAAATGGGAGGGTTGCAGTGGGAAGGCCATCTGGTGTAAAATGTAATGATCCCTTGGGAAATAAGAGAGCAGCTGAAAGTACCATCACTTTTTTCACAACATAATTTAGTCCCTTACAACCCACTAAAGAAAGAAATTTAAGTGTTGTGGCTACAGTGAGTCTACTATAAAAACATTTATTGGTAGAAATGGAGCCTCTGGTGCTACAAGTCTGACTCTGCAAATGTTTGAGATTTCCCTCAGCCTTTACATCTCTCCGGCTCCTGGGAACAAAATGAGCCTGCTCTTTGCATGTGCAGTGTGTTAGCAACAGCAGATGCTGGTTTGTGACCTGAGTACAGTTTGTATTTTGTTTACTCTTGTCCTTTCATGCATTTAAAATGAAAGTGACGTTCATATTTCCACACTTTGGAAGTTAGAATGAGGAAGGTAGCAACACTTACCAGCTTTTGAGGGTTTTTTTTTTTTTTTGCTACTCTTGAATTTAATAATAAAACTGAGTCCTTAGTGTAATGGAATTATGCGTTGGGGGGGAGGGGGGGGAGCCTTTCAACTATAAACAGTATAAAGCATGGACGTACTTACTGTTATGTCATCCACTGGTCATCATCTTGGTTTTAAAAAACTGGATGTGCCAAACAGGGCTAGGTCTGACTGTGAAACCCGCTCACTCACTGGCTAACAATCACAAATCATTACCGATGATCATACCGTGGATAATTCTCGTTTAACAAGGAGGATTATACGTGGCTGATACCATAAACTGAGCAGGAAAGTGTTCATTGAGGTCAAGTTAGGAAGCCATTTTCCCATATATCTCTGTGGAGGTTCCTCAAATGATGCCACATGCACACTCCTCGACTCACTAGGGAAAAATATGTAAGTCCCAAAGGGTTGGCGAATGGTTGCTGGAGATTTTGGTGTTGCTGGGTGAAATCAGTCGCAAAGATGGTGCATCAAAAACCTTCACGTGTTTGTGTTGTTCCTTAGCAGACTGCTGTGGTTGCTGCAACTACTTGTTAACCATTATACCAAAACATGAAAAAGTGCAAGTCAACATCTTTGATGCTACTATGGGCAACTTTGGCAATCTGTTAGCAATCAAAGCAATCATAAGGAGGTTTCTGCCAACCTGTTGGGAAATACACATTTTTTTCCCTCACATTTTCCTTTCTTTCCTCAGTGGTTTCCAGATGGTTGTGGACCAATCTCCAGCCCTTTAACGTGTCAAAAATGGCAGACAAGTTAACATTATGTGATTAACAGTTATGTGATTGCAAAACCTCAATAGGATTGGTCGGGTTTTTTTTGGAACTACTGCTATCGCCAACCAGAGAAGTGGCCACTTCTGCATTGGAATTTATTTTTCCAGCCTGAAAGCTATGTCCATCTGTCTATAATTGTGATGCATCAATGCTAGCATGTTCTGGCTGGCTATGTCAGTGGTGACCTCACAGGCTAATGTAATTTGCTAGTTCCACAAAAATCAAAAAGCTTCTTATAGCATTGGCCTAATTTGTCATATCATAATAAACCTGCTTAGCTCTGCTTGTAGGAGGATTTTCACTTAATTTTCTTGTTCTACAGCTTTCTACCTTGGTTTGTCTCCTTTTTTCTTTTTTTTCTACCTATTAAGGGAGCCACTAACTTTTT